AAAGAATGTGATGGCTTCAACATATACATTGCATATTCATCCAAACACCTGTTCTCAAATTCTTGTATCCAGGGGAAGATGGAGAACGCAACAGAAAAGCAGCAAGCATAAGGAGAAGAAAAAAAGGGAAAGAGGGAGAGGAAGGTAGAAAAACAATGAAGTGGAAGCGCGCCATTGAAGCGGGACGATCTAGGCAGAGTGAATAGCAGCGGCAGTGTCAGTAAACTCAATAAGTTTGGAGGCACGGTAGTTCACATCACGATAATTCAGGACTTTTAAACAGTTGAGAGCGGTGTTGAGAACATCACGAGAACCCAAATTACCTCCAGTATAAGACGGCCGCGTCAATATGGCAGCTCAATATATGTTTCAGATGAAGCCCAGCTCAATAATGACAATACGTGTACCTGCCATCTATCTCTCTCTTGCTGTCTCCCCTCTAAGATAAGAATCCTAAATGTTCGGATGACAACTCACGACGTCTACCTCAGCAGCACAGACTTCATATTGTCCAGTCATCTGGCTGGCAACTGGTATCGAGCTCGAAACTGTTTACCTACAATTCAGGTATTTTGGGCTGCCGTTTTCTATCCTGCCCCGCACTATTATTCTCTCTCTCGACTTCTTCTTTTTTTCCTCGTCGCACGTCGCAAAGATTTTCACCTTCGCAAGCAAGCAAGCAAGCAGATCTTCGTCTTCAAGATTTTCTTTTTCCTGTCTTCAAGACAGTATCATCGTCCGTCTTCAAGCTTGCAACTCTCACAGAGAATCATCGCGACTGCAATAAACACTTCAAACAAACTTGTCGTCGTCGGCACAAAGTTTTCAAGCATACCCCGACCTCTACCTCAACCTCTACCTCCCTCTTCTAACCCGCTTACGTTCCTCCCACTTTTGTCCTCCCTGCCTTCTCTACCAACCATGGAGCCCTGGATTCAAGAACAAGCGATGATTCACAGCGTGAGGCCTGCCCCTCTTGATGGCCGCGCTTCCTACCAGACCTGGACAGGAGTCTTTAGTACGTTTATCTCACTTCTAACAACATTTTCTTCGCGTTCACATCAGAATCAGATTCTGTTGCTAACACTTCATCTTTTCCACTACAACAGACGGGCAGTACCGCACCCTCCGTCACCCGGCCGCTCTGTTTCCGGAGCGTTACGCTCCAAACTCGGGACTGCGCCCGTGGCACTGTCCTGTTGTTGGCTGCGGCGAAAGCCATCAGTTTTTCGTGGAATTAGCTGGCCATTTCACCGTGAGTACCTACTACCTCAAACATCCCTATCCACGAGCTTAGTCTTGAGATTCTCAGATACTTCAGGTTTGGTATCCTGATATGAATTTGAGAAGTCGCAAATCTGATAAAAACATGAGTGGTGCCCCAAATCAAGTACTGACAAAAGACACGTTCCCCTTTCTAGTACGCTCATCTTGGTGTCACTCTCTGTGACAACCGCAACGGCACCTTCACAATCTTGGTGGATGAGGAGCAGGCTAACCCCCGCGGGTATGCCTACGTTGCTGCCCAAAGGGCTATCCTGGCTGGCCCAAGGGCGTCATTTCCGTTTGCCGCGCCTGCTTGGACTCCCGAAGACGCTGCCACGCCGGGGCCCGAACACGCCGACGAAAACCAGGGCAACGGCGTGGCGGCTGCAGACAACGAAGCGTGGCGCGACTCTGGGATCAGCATGATGTCAAGCAGCGACGAGGACAGCAGCGGCGAGGAAGGTGGCGGGGAAGTCGAGGACAACGACGAAGACGAGGATGATGACAATGACACCGTTGTGGGCGGCGACAGCGACAGTAACAGCAACGACGATTCTCCCGAGGAGACCGTCGTGATCCCCAACGCCCTTACCGTTGACGTCCAAACCCCCGGCGACGGTGGGTCTTCCGCTCCGAACGGAGACCACATGGACGTTGACGGCAGCCAAGCCCCCGTCGACCAAGCCGCCGTCGGCCCCGTCACCTTCTCCGGCCTCCAGCTGCGCCCGCTCCAGCTCCGCCGAGAGCTGCCCGACCCGACCCCTCTCCAACTGGAGATCTGGTCTTACATCACGCGCTGGACTCTCTACCCTCTTCCCCTCCCCTCTCCTTCTTCCCCCGCCCATCGCACCCTCCTCGCACTTCTCCGCTCCCCCCGCATCCGTTTCCTGCCGGTCTCCTGGCAGGAGCGCCTGCGGGCCCGTACCCCCTCCCTCGGCACCCTCACAGCGATTGCCCTCTACCTTGGCGGCAGAGCCGACTTCGGCTCGCCCTGTCAGTCACATTGCGGGCAACATGGCGCCCTGGTAGAGAGGCCGTATGTTGCCCAGAGGGAGGAAGGGGCCGGGCAGTGGAAGTTGGAGAAGAAGTTTGCGTTTCCGAGGTGTGTGAAGGTTCCGGAGGCGTTGGACGGGGATCGCGAGGCGGATGAGGTGTTGGGAGGAAGGCCGTGTTGTAACCATTTCTTCCGGGAGTTGAGGGGTGCGTGGGAGACGAGTGAGCCGTTTCCGCCGAGGCCGCCCGGTGGTCTTGTTTGGAATGGACCCATGTGGTAATTGTATAGCGTGGGAGGATTGTTTGGATTGGGACTCTCTGGTAAATGTAAAGCGTGGGAAGAACGTTTGGTATGGGATCTGTGGTAAATGTACAGCGTGGGAGGAATTATGGGCAGACGGATTAGAAGAGTGGGATTTTCTTTGCTGGATGCTTGCCTGGATTCATTTGCTGAAAAGAAAGAGTAGTTGCTCCGGATTGATTGAGTTGGAGTGAAGAAAGAGCGTGGCGTTCGGTTTGTGCTTCGCTGGGTCGTCTCGTAACTTCAATCGTGGAAGTTTTGAGCGTTGGGACGTTTTCATTGCCAAAGCTTGAAAGGGAAAAGCTGCAACCAATGTTTTGTGTTTGTCTTGTACAATAGATGTCTTATTTGAACTCTCGACTCTCTTTGCTCTCACACCCAACGCTTCTTCTTTGTTGATGCCAAGTGATGTTCTTTTGGGAGTGTGTGTATCGATGGAGAAGCAAGTACATGCACGTAGAAACACCGCCGTCTAACCTATCTCTATAGGCTGTTAACAAATCCAAGAACGATTGGTCCTTGATGACAGAAGAAAGGCCATCCAGTTCGTCGTGTTTTCCAAGACGAAGCTTTGCTTCCCCTGGTCCGGCAATCTTCTTGAGTACTCACGACGCTTAGGAAGCTTCCGTGAAGACCTAGTTAGGTAGGGTGGTGGTATCTTGCGATATTTGAAATACACATAGCGGAGCAGGGCTCGGTAGCAGTATAGCTCGCGAAGGTGGTTGTACTCTTGTTGCTTGACGAAATTTCGGATCCACGAAATGATCTGGCCGAGGATGTCTTTGTACCAGAAACTGTAGATAGGCATCATTACCTCCTCGGGGATTCTGTAATATTCTTCTGGATCTCCGTGGTTGAACAGCTAATCGACCGGATTGCGATGAAGTATCAATTAAGGAGTAGCAAACCTACATCCTTTCCAGAGCTGTCAGCTGCTGCCCGTCAACTGCTGCTCGTCAGCAGGCCAGAGCAGCTGGTCCTGGGCGGTGGTGTCCAGATCGTCGAAGTTGGGCGGGAGCGGCTGCCCAATGTGCCTAAGCTGCTCGAGGCCATCTTGAGGAGTGCGATGTATCGGTCCCTCGTGCGGTCTTGTCTCTTTTGGAGTGGATGATGAAAGATTTGCACAAGACGTACGCCGGTTGTGACATGCCCGTTACCTTGGGTTAGCATGCGGCGTGTTAAATCAGAGTCACACAAACAATGAGATTTTCAGGACGGCGGTATTGGACTCTATAGCCAGACCTTAGGACGTAGTCGCGACTACCCAAAATGATTCTAATATTGAGAATCTGAGTGGAGTGCACCTTCCACCTTTCTCGTCCGGGAACACCTACTACGATTATATCAGCATGCGTTTCGCGAGCAGCTAATGCATGTGGCTGCACTCTTCCTGCCCGCGTATTTCTCAACTCCACCCAACGCGAGGGAATCTTGGACTTCTTCCTTCCATTCTCCCTCTGTTATGTACAAGGAATGTGTCTGGTTGATATAACCTTTCAGAACCTTCCATCCCATCCCACTCGCAAACTGTTGAGATAACCCTGAACGCAACAAACGCTCACCAGTTCCTTCTATTCTCCCATCTCATCTCTTGGTCGTTCTCCTTGGGATCCAACTAGCTCTTTAGGACATCTTTTTATGAGTGTAATCTACCATTCCGGCCGCTGCTATCCTGCTTCCCAATGTGCTTTGCCCCAAATAATCTCAACAACGCCAAAGAGAAAACAGCGAGCAGCCGTTAAAGTACAAATAGCCTTCATTAACAGCAACTGCCGGCCAGCTCACCACTGCGTCGCAAACAACCACCCCGACCGGCCAGTGGTATAAGCCCACCTGCACAGAGTCTTGCTAGGTAATCGACCACGATCTCCTGACAACTCGGTCAAAAGAAGTGGCTGAGGTCCACCATCTTGCTTGAGCCTTGGGGCACATTTATGCTCTGAGCCCAGGCAGCATCGGTTGGTCCAGCTCAGCGCTCCGCGACAAACGGTGTGTCGTCCGCGACTCCGGTCTTGAGGATGTTGGTGAAAGCTTCCACCTCAAACTTGGCCGAGGATCCGCGCACAACGGGAGGACAATGTTCTTGCATACCCAAAGTCCTCATTGTAACGCCTGGCCAGTGGCCAGTAGCGTTAGTGTCTTCTGCGAAGCACGCGTACTTCATGGCCGCTTGAACTAGGGCTACCTCGTAGAGGATATCGTTCGGATAGTGTCGGACCACATCTTGAATGGCGGACACTAGTCGGCGTGGGACTAGGTCGGAAGTGATGATGAACAAGGGCATATGGACCGTAGGTGGTTGCTCCTACTTCTTTTAGTCCCGCAGCTCATGAGAGGCGAGGAACATGAGAGTGTTGGTTGAAAAGGCCTGCATGACCACACCACCACAGAGGACCACCGAGGATATCCTAATTGTTGGCCTACGGTCGTATCGTTGGCTTATCCAAGGGATGAACGGAGTGGCACATATTGCCCCGAGAGAGTACATTGGCCTTAGGAGGCCATCTCAGTTTCGATACAAGATCTTGGGAGGATTTTGCTCCTGGTCCCCAGGTCCTGGGCCCAGCGTTGCTGTATCCTGCCGGGGCGTTCATCAACAGGGACTTGCGCAGTGTGGGTGATGGCTCCTCGCCGCGGAAATCAGAGCTTTCATGTCATCCCCCTGCCGTTTTGGGGACAGGAGTATGAGGGGGGTAGTGGGATAGAAGGACGTGGAGGGTGTTCATCACGAAGTCGTGTGGGAGAAACATACGACTGGTGAGAGGACCGAGACAATGATCGCTCCGTAAAGGCGACCGCGGAGTGGCTGGAGTGGAGACAAGACCGAGATAGAGTTGATTGGGAGACAGGTTCGTGACTCAAAGTGAGCAAGAGAGTGAAACAAGTCGACGAAAATGAAGCTGGTTGGGAGATAAGAGAAAGGTAAACATCTTTCATCCGAACTTGAACATATCAATACGACTATTCAAGAGACCCCATTCTTGACGCGATTGATTTGAACGCGTGCGCGACTGACGGGAAGATGGTAGGATTTGATACTCATTGTGAATGAGGAACATCTTTTCCGTCCCACATCTACCCATAGCCCGAGGGCGAGATACTTGCACTTTGTTTACGTCTGTGTAATCTTGAAGAAGGACTGGGCGCATCAGACCCACCTTAGTCCAAGCCATCGGCGGTTCTCAAAGACCAGATCGGCAAGAGAATGTGGGCCACCAAAGGTAGCTACCTACGGTACACAAGCTAGGTTGGTTGCAATGGCCGACGAGGCAGGTCATCATCTCGATAACAAATGGAATAATACAAATTCGACGCGGAAGCCGATGAGGGATAAGCATTTGGACTGATAGCCATTGCCAAACACAACGCAATGCAGGAGACACGCCAAAGATACGACCATGGCGATAATAACGATATATATGAGACTGGATACTAGCAGGGCCTGGACGACACTTTGGTACGAGTGCGAACAGAGTCCCTTGGCTAATTCGCTTGACAATCTTCATGGGCTTGCCAAATTTAATGGTTACGTTCTTCTACCTTGAAAGAGGGAAGAGTTTGTGGCGGTTGCTACATAGAAGGTTGTGCCTGTAGTTAAAACAATCGTAACACTGATACGCAGCTATCCTATCATTTCGATGTGTCAGTCCTTTGTGAAGTATACATGTATGACTCAATGACTGTTTACTTTTGCCGTGATATGACTCAACCTTTGTCACAATCCTGTTGGACATATATCGGGAGAACACGATGACAGTAGAAGCATCTAAGCAGTCAGTTTGGTCCACATTGAAGAACAGCATAAATACCTTGATAGATCCCGTTTCTAAAGCGGATAAAGGGATTGAAGGTCGTTACCGCTTACCTACACCAAAGGACACTGGCGCGAGAACTCACATATATAGGACTAAGGGCTGACCACGTCCACCAGACACACGTAATACGTCATCACCTATATAAACCATGACCCTCTCAAGTAAGGTAATATCAGATTAAAACAGTCTCCTCTACATCCTCAACAACCAGCAAGCTCCCAAATGTGGCGACTTTGTCAACTAACAACCCGCCGATTGATCAAAAGAACAACGAAGCTGGCTCCCAAGCTCAAGAATATTGCGAAAGAGTCGGCATAGTTCGCAAGGACTTTGCCTCATATGCTTCAGAGGAGGAGCAGACAAGGTCCGTTGCGATACCTGCTCTTCCCTAATGCATAATGACGGGAGTGTCTCTGAATTCTCAACGATATTCGAAAGAGAAACACCGAAGTGAACTCGGACAACGAGAATGCGACAAAGGATCTGGAAACCGGCGGTGGTAGCCCGCTACGTACTATTAGGACTGCCGGTTTCTCTTCCTCTCCTCTCCGCTCCTGGTCAACAACTCCCTTCTTCACCCATGCCTCCACGCCTTCAGCGATAGCAATCTACCAGATTCCCGTTGTGCCGCAAACAATCGCCCCGAGCCATCAAGAACAGCGGCCTAGTCCGCCTGAGTTTACCGCGGCCTGCAAAGCGCCAGCTCGTTCACCTCGTCGAAGTCAGGGACTGACACTCCTCCACAGACGTACTACACTACGTTCTCAACGTTCCGGAGTCACTCCGTTGGCAAGAGCGTTTCTACCATCCGAGATCGTCCAAGGCCCTGATTTGGCTGGAACGATACTCCGGTGCACCTGGACGGTGTCTCATGTGCTTCAAGGGACGAGCAAGCATGACCTAACCTTCGCAAGTCCGGCAGCTTTCTCGAATCTACTATCAGCAGATCTTCAACCACCAACACCACTTCACACTAGTCAGATGCCGGCAGCGGCTTTGCTACCATAGCCTTACCTCCGGAACTGCTTTACCAAGGATTCGACGAAATCATCGCGCCCTTCAGGGAGCATGTTGACGATGATTTGGAACCCCAAGTGTTTGCAAAGACATCAGAGAGGACCTTGCCAGGTTCAAGTGAAACTGAGCGAGGCCGAGGTGCGCAGTC